AGGACTATATAGTTGAGGCCAGGTGTAGAGTATGTGTCTGTGAGGACTATCTAGTTGAGGCCAGGTGTAGAGTATGTGTCTGTGAGGACTATCTAGATGAGGCCAGGTGTAGAGTATGTGTCTGTGAGGACTATCTAGATGAGGCCAGGTGAGGAGTATGTGTCTGTGAGGACCATCTAGATGAGGCAAGGTGTAGAGTATGTGTCTGTGAGGACTATCTAGTTGAGGCCAGGTGTAGAGTATGTGTCTGTGAGGACTATATAGATGAGGCCAGGTGTAGAGTATGTGTCTGTGAGGACTATATAGTTGAGGCCAGGTGTAGAGTATGTGTCTGTGAGGACTATATAGTTGAGGCCAGGTGAGGAGTATGTGTCTGTGAGGACTATATAGTTGAGGCCAGGTGTAGAGTATGTGTCTGTGAGGACTATATAGTTGAGGCCAGGTGTAGAGTATGTGTCTGTGAGGACTATATAGATGAGGCCAGGTGTAGAGTATGTGTCTGTGAGGACTATCTAGATGAGGCCAGGTGTAGAGTATGTGTCTGTGAGGACTATCTAGATGAGGCCAGGTGTAGAGTATGTGTCTGTGAGGACTATATAGATGAGGCCAGGTGTAGAGTATGTGTCTGTGAGGACTATCTAGTTGAGGCCAGGTGTAGAGTATGTGTCTGTGAGGACTATATAGATGAGTCCAGGTGTAGAGTATGTGTCTGTGAGGACTATATAGTTGAGGCCAGGTGTAGAGTATGTGTCTGTGAGGACTATATAGTTGAGGCCAGGTGTAGAGTATGTGTCTGTGAGAACTATCTAGATGAGGCCAGGTTTAGAGTATGTGTCTGTGAGGACTATATAGTTGAGGCCAGGTGTAGAGTATGTGTCTGTGAGGACTATCTAGTTGAGGCCAGGTGTAGAGTATGTGTCTGTGAGGACTATCTAGATGAGGCCAGGTGAGGAGTATGTGTCTGTGAGGACTATCTAGATGAGGCCAGGTGAGGAGTATGTGTCTGTGAGGACTATCTAGATGAGGCCAGGTGTAGAGTATGTGTCTGTGAGGACTATCTAGTTAAGGCCAGGTGTAGAGTATGTGTCTTTGCGGGTTATATAGTTTTGGCCAGGTGTGGAGTATGTGTGTTTGTGTATTTGATTTGGTGTAAATATATTGACTACAGAGAGAAAGCCTTGTTAGTATGTGAATATATCATATATGGAATTTTTGTTATGCATTATAGTCCAGACGAATATTCGATGCATGCTCGATTAAATAATGTGTAAAGGTTTGTTAATGAAGATTATGGATATATTTGATACGTGTATATACGAATGCTGTGCTTGCATATTGTGAAAGAAGCATTTGAAGAATGAGAGCACTGAAGTGTGAGGATCCTTGTCAATAACAAAAAGGTCTAGAAGCAAATTGTTAAATCGAGGTTTTATTTAGTTTTTTGGCTAAAGGTATCAAACAACATGTCATTAAAACTTCATGTCTCTTCATACTGACACTACAAATATGGACTATCGATACTTTGGAGTTGATATCTTCACCTAAAGATACATTTGTATATATTCTATAGTGATACTTTTAAAGTATTTTTCCAATTATTAATAGGTGTAAAAAGTAAAACCATTAAAAGGCCTGACACCATAGCCAACAACCACACACCATTTTTGCTTTTATGTTTGAGAATTTGGTCCGAAAAAAAAAAAAGAAAACTAACTTAATAGTATTTTAAAATATTTGTATACAGGGTTAGACAAATATGTTTTCATCTGCTAGTCTGTCGGGCAAGTGAAACTTGAAATTCACATTTTTTTTTTAAGTTTAGAAAAATATTTATTCCCTCAGCAATGAATTCGGAGGAGGCTGCCAGGGTTGAGGAGCCCTGGGATCAGCCTCCGTACAGATAAGTGCCATCACGCAGGATGCCTCTCATTCATCATACAAACACACTTCCATGTAGACACTTACATGTAGCCATTAGAAACAATAGATATTTTGGTAAACCTAATATAAATAGACAGACAAGCAAGTAGAAATATTTACATAAACAACAAAACATGGTAAACAAGCAGGACAGACATACAAATAGGTTGTACAAGTGACATTCTAGACAAGAGATATCAAACAGATAGACTAGACAATAGACATAAAACAAACAAAAAACAAAAAACAGTGTAACATAGTACAGTGCTAAAAGAAATGTGATACTTATCTATTTTTATTTTTTTTCTAGGAAAGGAACAGGAGTGTTGACTATCATTACTAAGTAAGCAGCTTTTGAGAGAATTATGTGTGAGGATTAGATTCTAATAGAGTTGACCATTTTCTCCAAAAGGTTTTAAATTTCTCGGATTCATTTTGATTTTTCGATATATACGTTTGCACTTTATAAGTTTCCTTAATCTCATTTAAAAGTGCAAGTATAGATAAGCTATTGTTAAGACATTTTGTTTTATATATATAATATTTAATGATTAAACTTATCAGATTGTCAACTGCATCCTTTGTTTTATCATTTCTTAAGAAACCAAAAAGGAAAGATTTCTTATTTAATATAAAGTTAATACGAAAAATCTGAGACAGTCTCTCAAAGCTAAGTAACAGTCGTCTCACCTCTTGACAACCCCACAAAATGTGTTCAATTGTTTCTCTATTTGTTTTACATAATGAACATAATGAGGTATCAGATAAACCCATTTTAAACAACACAGAGTTGGTAGTCAAAATGTGGTGATTAATTTTATATTGAAACCATTGAAATTTGGTATTTTTAGTGACTTTAAAAGGAAGTATGTAGATTTGTTTCCATGTGTCATCATTAATATCGTAGTTAATCCATTTTAATTTACCTGTGGGTGTGACATTATTTTTACTTAGAACATCATACATGTCTCTGGCTCCCTTCTCACTAATTTCTAAACTTGATGGAATATAAGGATATTTTATAGATACATGTTCATTATTTTGTTGGTATTTGTGTAGTGCTTTTGCTATTACTGATGTGATTCCATGATACTTTAAAAAGTTGCACCTAATGTTATATTTATGCTTGAAAACTTCATAAGAAAGACACTTACCATTATCACCAACTATATCATTAATAATCCTTAACTCTTTTTGATACCAATCATTGTAGAATACAGTTTTATGTGCTATTTTTATATCATTATTGAACCATAATGGAGACATCAAAAAGGATTCATAGTTATTACTACTGCTAGACTGAACTACTTTCAGCCATGATTTTAGTACATCTTTCCAAAATAAATTTTTAGTTTTCTTAATGTTGTCATGAATTAAATCACTTCCACAATTACTAAGTATATTACTGTTTAATTTAGCATGAAGAATATTTCTCCACTTGCCTTTTCCAAAATGTAATCTACGAATCCAAACAGATTTTAGTGAATTTATAAAAGAAATAATATGTATCATTTTTAGTCCCCCATCTAAATATTCTTTAATAACAATGTCTTGTTTAACCTTATCAACTTTACTATTCCATAGGAAATGGTATAATTCTGTGTTAAGAGTCTTGATAAAGGTTTCATCAGGATTTGGAAGTGAAATAAAAAGATGATTTAGTTGAGAGATTACCAAAGTTTTAATTACTGTTAGTCTTCCAATTGGAGTAAGTAGTCTTCTACTCCACATTTTAAGTATACTTTTAATTTTCACAAGTTTTTTATCATAGTTTAATTTTGTTATTTTATGCAAATCTACATCGAAGTCTATCCCTAAAACCGAGAACTTTGTATTTCCCCATTGTAGTCTCCATTCAGGAAAGAAAGTTTCATTACTATATTTTTTACTTCCTATCCATACAACCTCAGTTTTTGATTCGTTTATTCTTAACCCTGATAGTTTTGCAAAAAAATCGAACTCCTTCATTGTTTCTTTTAATGATATTTCTGTACCATCAAGAATAACTGTGGTATCATCTGCATATTGAGATAATAAAATTAGTTCCTCATCTATTGATATACCTTTTATTTTTCTATTATTTTTGATTCTAAGGGCCAAAATTTCAGAACATAATATGAATAAATAAGCGGAAATAGGATCACCTTGTCGACAGCCTCGTTTCAAGTCGAAAAAGGGAGATAAACTACCACCTTGATTTATTGCAGATTTACAATTATTGCGCAAAGTCGTTATCCATTTTCTCATACTAGGTCCGAAATTAAAAAAAAAAGTAAAACTTCATCAACAAATTTATATGACACAGAATCAAAGGCTTTCTCAAAATCTATAATAAGTAACAGGCCAGGAAGATCAAATTCCTCTGCATATTGCATCATATCATAGATTAATCTTGTGTTTTCTCCCATGTACCTCCCACTAATAAATCCAGTTTGATCCATATTTATTAATTTATCTAATACAGTCTTAATTCTACTTGTGATCACTCCAGATGCAATTTTATATACAGTATTCAATAGAGAAATTGGTCGCCAGTTTTTAAGAAATTGCCTAGGTTTATCTCCCTTTGGTTAACATGTAATGATGCCCTGTTTCTGTGTTATAGAAAGTTCGCCAGTTGAGTATCCAAAATTGATTGATCTTAATATAAAATAACCAATACTTTTCCAAAAGCATTTAAAGAATTCAACTGTAAATCCATCTGAACCAGGGCTTTTGTTATTTTTCATTTTCTTCAAAGTCGCAGCTGCCTCATGATATTGAATAGGTCCTTCTAACATATTACATTCAATTTTGGAATCTCAAAATCTTTTCTATAAATTGTGTTTAAATCAACCCTCTCTGTATTATCATAACGATCATATAAAGATTTATAGAATTTGGTAATTTCAATTAAGATACCATCTTGGTTTGAAATAATTACTCCATCATCTTTTTCTATTTTAGGCATGATTTTATTAGTAAAATTTCTTTTTTCTAGGTTGCAAAAATAACTTGTCGGTTTTTCCCCATCCTCTATCCATCTTGCCTTTGATCTGATAATACTACCCTTAAGTTTCTGTTTTCTGCTCTTTTCTAAGTCAGCCTTTTTTTAACTCTAAGACATCTAATGGTATATTTTCCCTAGCCTCTAGCTCTGCTATTTCTTCCCTTAGTTCATTTTCTATTTGACCTCGTTCCTTTTTCTTGAAAGAGGAGTATGAGATAGTTTTCCCCCTAATTTCCATAAGTAATGTTTCTAAAAATAGCTGATCATTTATGATAAAGTTTATATCATTATCATGTATTTCATCAAGTTTAGCAAAATTATAGACTGGTATAGCGTATTGTTATTTTACTTCATGTATTGTTGATTTTACAAGGTCTAAATATTGAAAGTCTTCCAAGAGTGAGTTATTAAATTTCCACAGACCTTTCCCCTTTTTGAAATCATTGAATTTTATCTTCATTATTGGCATTGAATGGTCAGATCTATAACTAGGTTCTATATTTACTTTCTTAACACTAGATAATAGGTTTTCCGATATTAAAAAAAATCTAAACGGGCTTGTTTCCTAGGGTTTAGTTTCCTCCATGAGTATCGTTTTCAATCAGGGTAATGTTCTCTATACACATCTGTAAGATTATAACTCTCCATAATTTGTATTAACTTATCCCTAGACCTTGGATTATTGATATGCTTATAATTTTCATAATCTATGCTAGGTTTTAAAACTAAGTTGAAATCCCCACATATTATCTCTGATTCGTTACCGAAATCCTCAATAGCGTTTGCTATGTTTTCAAAAAAAATTGGTGTATCTGTGTTTGGAGCGTAAATTGTAATAAGTGTAATCTGTTTTCCATCAATAGCTATATCCAAAGCCAAAAAATTCCCAGTATTGTCTTTTTTCACTTTAAAAACTTTATGTTCAAAATTATTATTTAACAATATTGCAACCCCTCTTGAGTTAATAGAAAAGGAACTAAAAAAACAATCATATCCCCATTCTAAACTTATTCTATTTTCAATCTGATGCGTGAAATGTGTATCTTGAATACAATAGATCTTGTATTTTTTACTCCTAAAATATGAAAAAAACGTCTTTTCTTTTATCCTTATTCCCAAGGCCCTGGCCATTAGCTGAAATACTTATCAAGAGTGACTCCCTCATAGTTAAGCTTGCAGCTATGTTAAACTATGACAATTTAAGGTTTTATTTTAATAAATAATGCATTTGTACTGTACAGGATCCGTACACTTCATGTGCGAAACATATCCCTCAGACTACTAAGATATCAAAAGTTATTTTTCATTAATATTTAAGCAAAGGGCATACGTCGGAGACTAAGCATCAATATTAAACCCCCATCATGCTAATCGCATCATCCTCAGTTTTCACCGTTGTTTTCATAATGGTTTCCAACTTGTTGTTAATATCCTCTACCTCAAAGACTTGGTCTTCACTGTCAGTACTATTGGTGACTATTCTAGATCTTTAAATGGGTTGCCGGGTAGTGCTATAATCCCTGGTCAAGTCTTGCTGGTTTTCCTCAGTCATGGTGAACAGGTAAAGTACACTGTCTCTTTAGAGGTGTTAGCTATACAGGTAGGTATAATCCCTGAACACAACTCAGCACTGCACAATTCCACGAAGGAATTTGCATAAAAAACACCAAATTGCAAACTTTCCGGATGGAATTATGAGTCCAATGTAATATATGTTATCTACAGTGATGTTCTAAACAACTTCATACCAAAATCAAGAAAATCCATCTGATATAAACCAATAAAAGTTACCAAAATTGTCAAAGCCACAAACTACACACCACTCAGGTGAGCTGCCATCTCCTCCATTGAAATTCACTTGCCTGAATCCAATATTCACTCACCCGCAGAAAAAAGTAATTTAAGGAACTGTTATTATCAATTTCTATATCAAATGTTTGAACTCAATACTTTCTTTTATTGTTTTACTCATATTTTATTCACTGTTAACGCGAGCGAGAACATCGACTTTTTGACAGTAACTACGTTCACAAAACAACCTTGTTTACATTTGTGGTGACGTAATAGGTTTTCGCGTAGTCTGGATCAGCCCTAGTCTTGACACGTGGTGTAAACAAGGATACTACATCGATGTATTTGATTGACTATCAGTAGATCTGAATTAGTTTAGTTTTAAGAGTGTTTAAGTTAATAAACGTCATTTATTATGGAATATTCAATAGTCAGAACTACAAATTTCACTCGCCCGCCAAGTAGCTGAAACAAATCACTCGCCCGCAAGTAGCTTTGACTCGTCTAGACGAGCGGACGAGTGGACTTTTCTAACCCTGCTATATGGTGTATTAGGACAGACTCCGAGTCAACGTCAACTCCCTAAGCACATTTCTAGTCATGGTTGATGACCAACGTTATCGGCTTGTTAAATCTTGTTCTTCAACTAATGTAATATCAATAGTTGTGTCACGTTTACTGTACGTGTATCCATAATTCGCTATAATATACCTCGATAACACCATCGTGGCGATATAGACAACAAACAGTACTATACTTTCTCCTAGTAATAATAATGCAAACCAAATACTTGTTAAGTTTTCCATCATGTTGCCTAGAATAACAGGATTCATGGCCGTCAAAGCGGTTATCACGAAAAAGACTAAGGCCGAAATTTTACCAGTCACCGGGCTCACGATCTCCTCAATCCAGGAAAACACACTGGCCAAAATGGCTGACTTCCCATACCCAAATACAAGGGAGGCAATACACACTCCTATGGAAGAAAAGCGAACGGCGCTTACATATAATCCCACAAATGATAGCATTGTCACGAAACAATGGACACCTATGAGAGTCATTGGGCTAATTAGCTGTATGAAAACTACAGCTAACATTCTGCCAATCACTACCACGAAACTAGACGCTGACGTCAACATGGCCCCTTGCGGTTTAGTCCAGTTAAGATATTTCACGCAGAATGTGGTTAGGAATCCGAGAAATGTATCATCAATACAACAGATCAAACCGGAAATAGATACTAACATCCCGAGTGTGAAACATTTCAATGATTTTGGCAGCTTTCTTGTCTCAAATTCTTTCGGAATGCTCAATTCATTTGTAGTATTTTGAGATTGGCGTTCAAACCGGAAGTAGAATGCAACGAAGGCTAAGCAAACGATAACACTGAACGCGGTGGTAAACATATATGACATGTAGAGCTGTGTCTTTCCTCGTGACGGGTGATTAAAAGATACTGAACCATTCTTAGATACATTGTATGATTCCCTGTTAAAACAGGAGAAAGCAGTCGATAACTTTGTTTCATTAGATTGAAAGACACATAAATCGATATCGGATTCGTTTTGTCGGACGTTAGGGGGCACTGGAGAGTACAAGAAAGGGGCAGCAATCAGGGGGGCCACGGCGACTCCAACTGCATACATCAGCTGCATCCCTTGCATGTACGGTCGCCCATCCTTACCCCAGGTATTTTGTAAGTCTCCACTAGCAACTGAAACACAATATATCACCATACGTTATAATTGTACCCAGCTACTTAACACAATATATCACCATACATTATAATTGTACCCAGCTACTTAAAACAATATTTCACCATACGTTATAATTGTACCTAGCTACTTAACACAATATATCACCATACGTTATGATTGTACCCAGCTACTTAACACAATATATCACCATACGTTATGATTGTACCCAGCTACTTAACACAATATATCACCATACGTTATAAGTGTACTTAGCTACTTAACACAATATATCACCATACGTTTTAATTGTGCAAATCTACTTAACACAATATATCACCATACGTTATGATTGTACCCAGCTACTTAACACAATATATCACCATACGTTATGATTGTACCTAGCTACTTAACACAATATATCACCATACGTTATAATTGTACCCAGCTACTTAACACAATATATCACCATACGTTTTAAGTGTACTTAGCTACTTAACACAATATATCACCATATGTTATAATTGTACCTAGCTACTTAAAACAATATTTCACCATACGTTATAATTGTACCTAGCTACTTAACACAATATATCACCATACGTTATAATTGTACAAAGCTACTTAACACAATATGTCACCATACATTATAAGTGTACCTAGCTACTTAACACAATATATCACCATACGTTATAAGTGTGCCTAGCTATTTAACACAATATATCACCATACATTATAAGTGTACCTAGCTACTTAACACAATATATCACCATATGTTATAATTGTACCTGCACATTGTCTTAATACAGCCAAGTGTACATCAAGTAACATTATCTCAGTTTAAGAGCAAGCAATTTAAAGCTGTGCTCTAAACAAAAAAAATTTACAAAAGGCAATAGATATGTGACCAAGAGATCGTGTCCTGTATTTGGTACACTGAACATCCCCTTAGTATAACCAAAGTATACATTAAGTCCCACGATCCTTGCTTAGCTGTCCGCAAACTTATGCTACGGACACGAAAGGACGGACGGACAGACAGCCAAGGCGGCGACTATATGCTCTCCCGAAAATTTTGGGGAGCATAAAAATACGTATGATGTAGACAAAGATATTCTAAACGAAGATCATAAGTACATAAAACTTCTGCCAAAACTATAGAAAATAACATATTGTCTCCCACATTAACGGGAAGAAGGCAAATAATATTAAACAGTTTGTATATAACATTATAAACAAGACCAGGACAAATGATTGAAAGCAGATTACTTTTTCTAGTGATACTTTTGAATAATTTTGCAAGTATCTTTGCGTAGTTTGCGAGTCAGTACACATTCAAAAGACAAAAAAAGTTCTGTGAGAATTAACATCAATCAAAACAAAACTAGATTCAGATTCCGTTAAGTTACATGATGAATTAAACTGCATCATACAGCTGTTTCGTCACTCTTGAACTCGTCAGTAGTACTACACCATACAACTATTTCGTCCTTCTAGGACTTTTCAGTGATGCTACATCATAAGGCTGTTTCGTCCCTCTTGAACTCGTCAGTGGTGCTACACCATACAGCTGTTTCGTCCCTCTTGAACTCATCAGTGGTGCTACACCATACAGCTGTTTCGTTCCTCTTGAACTCATCAGTGGTGCTACACCATACAGCTGTTTCGTCACTCTTGAACTCATCATTGGTGCTACACCATACAGCTGTTTCGTCCCTCTTGAACTCATCAGTGGTGCTACACCATACAGCTGTTTCGTTCCTCTTGAACTCATCAGTGGTGCTACACCATACAGCTGTTTCGTCCCTCTTGAACTCATCAGTGATGCTACACCATACAGCTGTTTCGTTCCTCTTGAATTCATCAGTGGTGCTACACCATACAGCTGTTTCGTCCCTCTTGAACTCATCAGTGATGCTACACCATACAGCTGTTTCGTCCCTCTTGAACTCATCAGTGATGCTACACCATACAGCTGTTTCGTCCCTCTTGAACTCATCAGTGGTGCTACACCATACAGCTGTTTCGTCCCTCTTGAACTCATCAGTGGTGCTACATCATACAACTGTTTCGTCCTTCACAGACGCGACAGTGAAGCAATCACGGGAAACTAGAACTGTCAAAAAAACTCACAGATAATGTTGAGAGCTTAAACTTAAGACACTTCTCATAATTAGAGGTAGAAAGTTCCAATGAAAGATAGAGAGGGAGATGACTTGATAGTTATAGTAGAGAGTATCAGTTTATAAGACAGAAGCACGTGACTGTTCATAGAGGACCGCATAGACTTCCCAAATGTATGGTTGCCTGTTTATGGCAACTAGGGCCCAAACAATCCTATACACTCCTAGACCGATCATGAAAGCGTTTGCCACCGAAGAGAAATCACACGCAAGAAGCTAATGTTCTCACTCCCGCCACCATGCAACCATTACAATAGATAAAGAGCTAGGTAACACGGCCATGGAGCAATATGACTTCGAGCAGCAAAACCTGAAACGTTCGGCGAATATTACTTGATTTTTTTGAGTGCTTATTACATGTATTCTCTAGATGGGCATTGCACTAGAGAGTCAACAGTAAGCAACATAGAGATTCAAATGAATATCTATATAAATTAAACTGTTTATCACAGCTGATATTGGTTTTAGGGAGTAAGCAGACGCGGAGACAGACAAGGGTATTCGTAATAAGGTCAAGGGTTAGTCAGCGTGTATTAAAACTAGTACCTGAATCTGTGACTCCAAGGCTTAACCCAAAAAAACAAAAGACGACGACCATCATCCAGTAGACGGAACACCATGGTATCACTAATGTGACAACGGACAGCAAGGATTTCGCGCCTGTCAGAATGTAAGTCTTCCTCACTCTGCTGTAGATGGCTCCGCCCACGCAGGCCCCGCCCATGTAGCCGAGGTATATTGTGGTCAGGAGGGCGGAACCCTCTCCCAAGCCCACTCCACTGATGATTTGAAGGTCTATGAGAGAGGGTCCAATTTGACCTTTGGCAAATCCCTGAAAAATGTCAAGATTTTCTATCAAAAAGTAAGTCTTACTGCCTAGCTAAAATAACTTTATTTTTATGAAGGTTTTCTTGGCTTTCCTAACAAAGAAAACTATATGTTAATGATGATGCCACGAACACGGTTAGATGTCTGGAAGGAAATGCATTCATCATGATCTTCCAACTTTTACTGTGCTGCAGAAATATAGATAAACATACATTCATTACCTACATGACAATATTTGAAGTAATTCACTATGCCGTAAGTATGACATTGACATCACTTCGAACCCAAGCTTAAATGTGTTAGTATTATTAGTGCTAATTTAAAAATGGTTCGGTAAATAATACATATAGTACATATAAATAATATATATATATATATAATGACGTCGGTCTAAGCTCCTTGTGTATACAACTCACTATCTGAACACGATGTCTTACTGGTGTCCGATATCAGATAGCATCAGTTACACATTACAGGTGTTGCTATTCTCTCTATTCACGTTATCTAGGCATATAGTAACTGTACAAATTAGATAAGAAATCTGTTGTTTTGTTATGTCTATCTTCTTCAGTACCCTAACACGTTTAAATAACGATAAACGATATAAAAATGATACGATATTTTTCATAAGAATCTTGTCTGAGTTTTTTTCTGTCGTAAGTTCCCTAACTCCATATATTTTATCACCAAGAAGGTTTTTAATTCTATACCTCGTCTGTACAGGTGTGCTACTCCGCTGTAACACAAAATTGTATCAATATCAAAAATACATACAAAATACCAACACGTCCACGGAATCTCATTAACACTCAAATTCACTGAAATATTTACAACAAAACACTCCTGTAACGAACATCAAGCACGTGCAACCTCGTATCGCTCAACAGAATAATTCCACGTGACCGTACAGTTTGGTGGTCGCCTTACACACCACTCCGGAGAAAATGTGATTATTTGTCCGGATATGGCAATATGGACTTTCCAGAAGATAGGTGAAGGAATCATACTGTGTTTGGAAACATGTATATGGGAAAAATGGTAAAAAAGTCCGTGTATTGAACATGAATTTGAATATGACAATTTCAGGTTGTTGAGTATACCGAGTACGTGCTTATGTGATACAGGTGAGCTGACCGTCGCTATAAATAGATTGTTTACTTGATTGACTACACACCTGTTCAAACCCGTAAGGGCGACATATAGTTGGAGACGAGTACCGAGTGTATTTCTTGGCTTGTTGCATATGATATCATGAACGTGTATCTTGTATAATGAACAGTTTGAAACGTGATCGCTCTAAAATTACATCGAACTCTCGTTCTACAAAAAAAATAAAGTAACTGGTGACAGTATCAATCTGCATGAAAGTTTTCTTAACTCTGACACTGTGTTGAATATGGACTCGGACATCTCGCAGGTACCGCCCAAGCCCCAGCTCCAATTGTCGACGCAACATCATCAGCAGCAATTTCTCCAGTTCCATCCAACCATGACCTCTACCCCTCCTGTTGCTCCCGTAAATGTAGGTCTGTCAGACTTTGGCATTCAGCGCATAGCAATCACTGTCAGTAGCATTATGTTACCAGATATTAAAACTCTCATCCAGAACGAAATAATTCCCCTAAAAAGGGAAATATTGGAATTAAAGTCAGAAAATGAGTCTCTTAAGATGGAAATTGACGATCTGGAGCAATACAGTCGAAGGGAGTGTGTTCGTTTTTCTGGGATCCCAGAGTCGTCTGGTGAAAACACTACTAACCTAATACTACAGGCAGTAGATCAGATCAAACCATCTGAAAGTCCAGCCCCGATTTTGGACCCTAGCGACATCGTCAGGTCACATCGTATCGAACCCCCGTCTGATGGTAAAACAAGACAAATTATTGTACGTCTGCGCAATCATGATGACAAGCGTCGTCTGCTCTCCGCCAGGAAAAACTTCCGGAACACTCCAGGTTACGAAAACGTCGCAGTCAATGAGGACCTAACCAAAACGCGCGATACCATATGCTATTACGCTAGAAAGCTTGTGCGAGCTAAAAAAATCAAACAAACATGGTCCATTGATGGAAAAATTTTCATTAAAACCAATGCTGAAAAAAAAAGTTATCATCAAAAAAGAACGTGACTTGATTGAATTTGATCATATTTTCAAAGAATGACACAAACGAATTCTGAGTTATTTTCTATTGGGCAATCATGCTCCGTGTATATACTTCTACAGTATAATTAATACCACCTCTATTTTAACTTTCCCAGTTAAAATTGATACAGATCTTTATAACAATAAAGTATTTTAGAATAAAAATCTCCTTCGGACTGTTTTATAGGGGAGGTAACTGTGTTCTGTTGCTGCACCCGGCAACATATTTGTAATTTATTTACTGGGTTGAGTGAAGTTAAGTGGTAATAAAGCCTATCTGTCAATCCGATATATTGAAATATTATTTCTGAAACACTGAATCTGTATAGGGCTGTTTATTCGTACACCAGTGTCCTGTACGTATCCGAATATTAAGTATGATTTGGTTGTCATCACGTGTCGTTGCTTGCTCTTTAAATTAATAATTATTATGTTATGTAGTGAACTGTATATTCTATGTGGAGAACGTGTGAGATGGTATGCGAGTAACCACGTATATGTATTCATATGTATACATAAATAGAGTATAGATGCTATTGTAGGTAAGAAGGTGCATATATGTGTATTATACTGCATAACATATTCGTACACTCCAAAGGAGAGTGCGAGTGCGTGTGAGAATGACGATGCGTGAGTAAATGTACGTGCTTACTTGTATTAACCTGTACTCAGTCTGACACAAGAAATTACTCATTTTCTTTACGATATATACATATTTATTAATTAATACCTATTAACGTAATATTAATGTCAATCCTAAGTCCATATTGCGGATATCCATTCCCGCATTATATGTTTTTTCTCTTCACTATTTTTTGTTTTTACTAGTTTAATTGGTGGTTATTTGGTTAAAAATTACAAGATGTCACAGATGGTCATTGGAGTGGAAAACGCTTGTTTTAACATGTCTTTACTTCAGTTCTATGTAAATGGTATTACTTGATGCCTTCCGATGTTATTAGTCATCGTGTTAAAAAAACTGGCGTCTTCCATCCAAGATCAACTCTGCCTCCATCACGAAAACGTTTAGATATGTTAGTAATTTTGTTTTTGAATTTACTTTTTTGTTTTAAAGAACGGGCCATATTGATTGTAATATTTCTTTACTGTATATATTTTCCAAAACATTCTCGTAACAGACAAGAAAGTACCTCATTATTCTCAAACTGTCGCAATAGAATACTGTTTGAATCTGATCCTCAAATATATAATTTATTATATATATGCGGAGATATAGAAACAAACCCGGGTCCATACTCTAACGCATCTACTTCACTCATATCAGATAATATCAGTATTGTACATTACAACGTTCAGAGTTTGCTTCCAAAAATTGATCTCTTAATGACTGAACTCCATAATATAGATATAATGGCTTTTACGGAAACTTGGTTAAATCCCATCACTGAAAATTCCGATGAATTGCTTATTGATGATTTTCATAATCCATTCTTGTGTAGTAGGTCTGAGCGGCTTGGAGGGGGTATAGCTGTTTATGTTCGAAAAAATATTATTGTCAAGCGCCGAAGTGATCTAGAAATTAATAATGTTGAGTGTGTTTGGTTGGAAATTAAGTTTAAAAATATAAGAATTCTCTTAGGTACATTTTATAGACCATCCAATTTGGGTGTTGAATCATGGCAACTTATAAATTATTCTATTGAATTAGCGTCAAATACTAACATGGATATTTTCATAACCGGGGATTTCAATGAAAATCAACGAATTCCAAATAACCATTTCATAAGAGATATGCTACGGCAATTTAATCTCACACAATTAATTCCATTACACGGCAACGTCTTCATCAACTTTAGACCTTATAATTGTTAATAATATGAATTTAATAGAAAAAGTGTTAGTTGGAGATCCATTTCTTCCAGTAAACCAGAGGTATCATTGTCCAATTTATGCGTACTTCAAAATTAAAAAGTTATCTAACTGTTCAAACATTAAACGTAATATTTGGTTATATAATAGTGGTAACTTTCAAAATTATAGAGACGAACTAAATAAAATTGACTGGAATGGTAAATTTGAAGCAAACGATGTGACTATGTTGCCTAAAATATTTACAAAAGAACCTTTAGCAGTAGCATCAGCAACTATTCCAAATAAAATTGTTACTATACGAAAAAACGATCCTCCTTGGATGAATAATAATATTCGTAGATTAATTAGGGCTAGAAAAAGAATACATTATAAAGCTAAGTTAACAAACAATCAGAATCACTGGGGTAAGTTTCGACAAATACGGAATCTTTGTGTAGATGCAATTCGAAAATCAAAATCTAACTATTTTATGAAATTAGCAAATAATCTTCATTCAGAATCCATATCTTCTAGGAATTGGTGGAAAATAGCCAATACATTTACTAAATTCTCTTCGAAATCGTCTTCGATTCCTATGCTTATTTCGGAAGGTAACGAGTATTATGAGGATGGTGATAAAGCTATTCTTTTAAATAATTTCTTCATTAGGCAATCTAATATTGATGATAGTAATGCAATTACACCTACTCCTACTGACCCTCACGCAATTTTCGAAAATATTTTTTTAACTTCTGAAAATGTAAAAGATTCAATTAGTACACTTGACACATCAAAAGCATCCGGTCCAGATTTAATTAGTCCTAAATTATTGAAAGAAGGTATAAATCAATTGTGCAATCCTCTATGTCAACTATTTAATAAGTCGTTACAGTCAAAACTATTTCCTAATGAATGGAAATGTGCAAATGTAATACCTATTTTTAAAAAGGGAGATAAGAGTTGTGTTTCAAATTACAGACCCATTTCATTGTTGAGTATTATAGGAAATTTAATGGAAAGATGTGTATTTAAACGTGTTTATAACTTTATACGATATCAGAATTTCTTTACGGATTCACAGTCTGGATTTACCCCTGGGGACTCAGCTGTAAATCAGTTATTAGATATTTCAAACGATATTGGTAAAGCTCTTGACAGTGGTAAAGAAGTTCAAATTGTTTTCTGTGATATTAGTAAAGCTTTCGATCGTGTTTGGCATAGGGGTTTGATACATAAATTGAAATTAGCTGGGAGTTCGGGTGATTTATTAAAGTGGTTTCAAAGTTATTTGGAAAACAGAAAGCAAAGGGTAGTGATAAATGGGAATACTTCAGAGTTCGGAAAAATTACAGCTGGGGTACCCCAGGGGTCTATATTGGGGCCACTACTCTTTTTAATCTACATAAATGACATAGTAGTTGATATTGGCTGTAAAATTAAATTGTTTGCAGATGACACCACTTTATATGTCATAATAGATAATGTAGACACTGCGATTGAATCTATAAACCGTGACCTATCCAAAATTTCGGAATGGGCAGCAAGATGGTTAGTGACGTTCAACCCTAGCAAAACAGAATCACTTTTTATTAGCAAAAGAAACACAGACCGAAGACCAGACTTACCCCATATCATTATGAATAATACTGTAATAACTGACGTTAATGTACATAAGCATCTTCGTCTATATTTTTCTTCTAATCTTACTTGGAACGAGCACATAGATTCTTTTTTTAAAAGAGTATCATGTCGACTAGCAGTACTAAGGAATTTAAAATTTACATTGGATAGAAAATCTCTAGAGAAATTATATTTTGCATTTATCAGGCCAATTTTGGAATACGCAGACATTGTTTCGGATTCATTGCCCTTGTATCTTAGTGATAAACTAGAATCTGTATAAATTGAAGCCGCCAGAATAGTGACAGGTGCTACGCGATTAGCCAGCATTGACCTTCTTTACAAAGACACGGGATGTGAAAAATTATCCAGTCGTAGAACAAAACATAAGATTATACCGTTGTGCCATGATTTAACTCCTGCATATCTCACAAATCTTGTCCCGTCTCAGCACTCTGATATACGTGACTATAGAACTAGACAGTCAGATCTACTTATTCCTGTACGATGTAGAACAAACTTTTACCAAAAATCATTTCTTCCTTCAACAATTGATTTATGGAATTCGGTCCCTTCTATAATTAAAAATAACCCGTCTATTAACTCTTTAAAATCTTATCTAAATATTGACAAACCACTTCCTCATTCCTACCTCAATTTTGGCAGTC